CTAATCACGTTCAATTCAACTTTTCCAGGTTTTGTTCCCGCAAGTGTTCTTACAGGGTTGGTTAGAGTATCGAAATTTGAGCTAGAGACATAGTCAGTAATCACGTGGAACTGAAGGAGCTCTTGTTTTTGGGTATCAGAGAGAGTGTTGAGGAACCCAGGTTTGAGTTCTGAGAAGGCGCTGTCATCGGGTGCAAGAATGGTTAAGCCGCCAGATTTTATGGTTATAAGCTGCGAATTGAGTTGATTGATGAGTTGTGTTGTTTTCAATAGGCGAACGAAGATGTTGAAGGAGTTAGCCTTCCTTAATATTCCAACGATGTCGGTGTTGGTGCTGGTGGCGTCTGGAGAGTTGTCTCCGGGTGATGTTGGGACTAATGGTTTTGTTGGGGCTGCAGCTGGTGCGGTAGGGGCTGGGGTTGGTTGCACCGGTGCACCAAGTGGAGATAGGGCTGCTAGAGTGGTGGTGGAATAGAAGAGGGGGAGGATTAGTAGTGTTATTGAGATGGATAAGAGAGTTTGGCTCATCATTGTTACTTTTGGTAGTGAACAACAATGATATGAATTGCAATTGTGATGTAATGAATGTTTGTTACTTGTTTGATGCATTGGAGAAATGAGGCATTGAGGCTTTTTATTGAGGCTTGTGACAATGATTTGCATCAAATGGTTTGGTTAATTGTGATTGCTGAACCTACATATTGTTTATATGTAGATGATTGGAGATTGATTAAGGTGTTGTATCATTTGAGATGGGTATGTGATTTAGAGAATTTTTGGTGATGGAGCAATTGATTATTATTGTTATTTTTGGTTGAAAAGGGAAAGGTTAAAGAAAGTGAAAGGCAGAGAGAGCAGAATAAGATGTGATAGCAGAATTAGATGCATGAATGTGTTGTGGGTGTACATCTTGTATCTTGTTATCCTCAAAGGAGACGAAGTCTATTTGCAGGTTGGTTTTTGAAACGTAATAGAGAGAAGAGAAAAACTACATATTCATGAAATACACTTATAAAATGATTCAATTTTTATTTCTCTTTCTTCTTATGTAAAAATCAACTCGCAAACAGATCGACCCGTCAGGATATGAAGGTGTAAAGGAAGGTGAAGGATAGTCTTTGAAAGAATTAAACCTTCTGATTCCTTCATTTCATTTACATAAATTGAGAACTTAGTGGGAGCTATTGCCTTCACAACTAGATGGCTATGGCTCTGGGTTTGTCCCTCCATACAAGTATCATATTACCATATTCATAATTACTAATTTAATACTGCATAAAACAATCATAAACACAACTTAAAGAGATAAAAGTATATGTTTGATCTTGTTATATATATGTTTGATAATGTTAATCATGAATATGATGAAGTAGCTTATAGTATATTATTTGAATACCATGGATTATAATTGGTCATGTATTGTTTTTTCTCTTTATTACATAACTCCAATTCTATCATATATCCCTGATGTGAATAGATGTGTTTTTAAGCAAAGTTCTATCATTAGAAGTTTTGAATACTTAATAGTGAAGCTGCAGAGTAAATGAAGTAATGATAAGAAATGGATGAGATATAAATAGTCATATATTATAGGTTCAATCCTTTTCAAATAATTCTAATAATGGTAGATTTTGTTTTTAGATACAAGAGTGAATAAGAATGAAGAGATAATAGAATGTGGTGCAGATCTCATTGTCTCAGCTAGCTAGGATCCTAATCAGTTCCTTAATCATAAACTAAACATTTGTTAGAAAATTAGTAACAATTTGTTAATATCATTTCCTCCTTATTGATGTGAATATTCAACCTATATAGAGTCACCACCTTTCAAATTACATTTCCATATATACATGCATCTAATTCATAATAACCTGTCTTATACATGCATCTAATTGATAATAACCTGTCATGTAATGATGTGAAAGCAAATCATTTAATGATGTGAAGACTGAAAGGTTAATGATTCGATTTCTGATAATGACACTTGTTCAGATGAACAATCACACATTCTGAAAGTGATTAGTTCTTTGCTTGGGACGGGTTGTCCCTCTTCTAACTAACAAAAATGGGTCTGTCACCCTTAACCATAAATTACATGATGCATCACCTTTCCATGATAGTTAAGGGAAAACTATTAATTTCTAACTAAGCTATACTATAATACATCAATTATTTTTATGTTCCAGCCTCTATATAAAATGAAGCACCTACGGTTTCTTTTACTCACAGCAAGGCAAGGATCTCTGAAGTCAAGTCTACAATTTACAAAACAACATTTTAGCATTCTATATTTCAAAGGGTTTTTCTTGAAACACTGAAATGATGATGCAAGACTACTTACATTCTTCTCTTTCACAACTACCACATCAGCTCAGCTTATATCACCACTTAAGGCTCCAATACATGTACTTTATAGTCCTAATTTATTCTCAAAATATTACAATAGTAGGATGAAGTTTATGGACATTTAATAAGACCAACTTTATAGACATTTGAGGATGAAAGAGATATTATTGATTATGGAGCAAATGTGTGTTTTGTTTGAACAGACACGATGTATGCAGACAAGAAGCTAGGTATTTATGAAGTGAACAAAGTGCTTGTTCCACATGACATGGTTCTTCTATTAAGTCTAAGGCTCCGGCACCCTCACCGGCCAAAGGAGTTTGAACATGTAGTGCCTGATGAGAGGATCTTTCTACACCTCTTTTATTCAATCTTTGCTCATGAGCCTCAACAGACCCCTGAAGGTCTACAACCTTCATCTTATCAAGCTTTCCTGATTCCTCAATGGCTACCACAACATGATCAAATTTTGGTGCCACAGCTCTGAGTATTTTCTCAACAATTGTGGCATCCTCTGTCTTCTCTCCACAAGCCTTCATAGCATTCGTTTGAGTGATTATTCTAGTGAAGAATTCAGAGATTCTTTCACCTTCCTCCATCTGCATGAGTTCATATTGCCTCCTCATTGTTTGCAGCATGATCTTCTTCAATTGTGCAGCTCCAACATAGTGCTTCTCAAGGATTTCCCAGGCTTCCTTCAAAGTTGTAGAGCATGCAATCTTCTCAAAGTGAGCATTGTCAACAGCTTGGTACAGAAGACAAAGTGCCTTGCAATCTTTCTTCTTATGTTGCTAGTAGGCACTTCTTTGAGCTTCACTAGCTCCTTCTTCCAAGATTGGGAGTCCTTCTTCCACATATTCAGATACATCTTGGAAACCAAAGATGGCTTTCATTTGAACGCACCATCTTGACCAATTCTTGCCATCAAGAATAGGCAAATTTGTTGCATAATTTCCAGTGAATTGAGCCATGATTTGCAGCGGAAAAGAAATGAATTGGATCTTGAACAAGTGCTCTTGATACCAATTGTTAGAGAATTCTTGAGAGAGAGGAAGAAAGAGTGAAAGGAATATGTGAGGGAGACAAGAGAGAGGATGAGTATGAGAGTAAGAAACTAGAGTCTATAAGGGAAATGATAATTCTTGCACTTCATTGCATTCATTCATCAAGTATTTATACACTTTCTATTTAGAGGTTAACTAACTTAACCACTTGCTAACAATAGAAAGTTCTTAACTACTTCTAACTAACCATTTTGGATTATAGTTTCTAACAGCACCCTCATCGGCCAAAGGAGTTTCACCAAAAACCAAGTCTACTTCAACATGATTCCTCCTCTTCTTCGAGCCATCATTATTTAAGGTTTAATTCTTATGTTAATTACTCCCGGTGTGTTTGTAAGTTTGATTTTTTGAGAGAAATGAAAAGAAATGTAAAATTTATCATTATATTTCATGATTCACAAGTCTTTTCCCTTTCATTCTAACATTTTAAAACCAACTCGCAAATAGATTATATCTAATTTACGAATCCAATTTTATATTATTGGATATATGTTTATCTCTTTTCAAATTTGAATTTTTTCAATACAACAAAATATATATCATCACGTTATAGATAATAAACTAATCATTTTAGGTTTGTGATGTATGATTATTGTCCATCCAAATAAAAATTGTTTCTAATAATCAAATATATAACTTTTGTCATAATATAATAAGGTTTTATATCACTAATCAACACTTTGTTGATTTATGTTGAATTTTTTATATGGAAAATTTTATGTTTTCAAGACGTAGCTCCATTTTAGTGACTCCAAATGAAAATATTTGTGGTTAGATCTAAAAATACCAATGTATTTAGTATTGAATTTATTAGGTAAGAATATCAAATTTAAATTAATTACCAATACATTTCTATTTATTAGTTTATATATATAAATTTAAGTCTTCACGTCACTTTTTCCTAAGTTTACAAATTCATAGGTAGGTTTCTGCTTCAATTATGTAATCCATTCATCTAATTTAAATTCCAATCTTAATACTTATATATTGTTAGACATTCTAATAAATCAATATGTATTAAGTATTTTCCTCCATTTTTGCTCTTATTGTATTAAATAAAATATGATAATTAACAGATTTAATAAGTAGCCTGTAAGATGTTGAAAGTGAGAATTAAAAGGTGATAGCTAGAATGAGTAAAGATAGAAAAGGCTTATTTAATATATAACTAAAAATCATTATTGTTGCATCTACTCCTACTTTTGTGCGTAGATCGGTTTGAATAAAAAAATCCATACCATTTTAACTGAAAACTTATTTATGTTTCGATCGATTAGGTTAAAGCATTTATGACAGTAATATCTATTGAAAACTTTACTTCTCAAAGAAGAGTTTGTAATTTTAGGTTCTACTATGTTAATGCGTGAATTGGTGTATTGGATTTATATTTTAAATGGAAAATATTTGAATTGTTTATATTGTAGAAAACTACAAATAGTTTATTTTGGTAATATTTCTAACAAATCAATGAATATTGTTTAATAGGATGAGGGAATATTTCCTCAGATCTTACTACTATTTTTATTAATATTAATTAAAATAAACTGATTTAATTTGAATTATTAATTTAACCTAGAAAAAAATGAGAAGACACTGGAATTTATCACAAAAAAATATCAACAATGAAACGTCTTAATTGTTGAGAGATAAAATTTCAAAAATTAAAAAATTGAATAGAAAGATCTGAAAGTGTTCTTTGAGGCATAATTAGAAAGAGTATAATTAACAAAGTAAATTAGAAGCTACAAAACGATGGAAAATAAAGTGCTTAATCTGAAAAATCATGCGGAATCACCAGATTTGTAGCGGTACAGTTTTCCTAACACGTGGAGGGTTGTGACAAATCCGATGAAGCATAGGCTCATAACCAGCACCACCGTCGGTGATATCTTCAGCCCCGGTGCATCGTCAGTGTAGAATCGAAGCATATTGCTGCCTCCGGTTCCTCCTCCGGTACCGACGGAGTTGTTGCCGGTGCTTCCTCCTGCGGCGATACGGCGACGGCGCATGCCTGCGGTGGCGGCAGCGGAGCCGCGTGGAGCCATGACACCAGGTCGGGTGGTTGTGGCGGAAGCTGTGGATTGAGATTGAGAAGCGCCTCTGGCCATGTTGAAGGGAGAGAGAAAGAGGATTTGGAAAATGAGAAATCAAGAAATCAAAAGTGAATAAATGGGATTGAAAGAAAAATAACAAGAGGACAAGAATAATGATGAAAATTTTGTATTATTTGGGGTTATTATTTAACACTTTTTTAGGGATTTTGTATTATTTAATACTTTCTGCTTATCCAATCATCATATTCTTCTGCTTTATTTTGTTCTTGCCCTCTAACAACAAGAATATAAATTTATCATTTTCTTTAACCAAAGTATATCATTGACTATCAAATTCTGAAAGTGGAAAATGAATAATAATAAAACATTGAATTAGTGTCATAAAATCAAAAGTTAGATATCGAGGAGTAACAATTATTTAAAGGGTGTCATACTTAAGATACCTAACTATATTATTTTCTGAGTAACAAATACTTATAACAAAATATTCAAGGTACCTAATTAATTAAATATTTAATATAACAACCTTCTTAATTTTTAACTCTTATGATAACCTTTTGTTAAACTATTTTTTACATTGTAATAGGAGCTATTCAAAAAGGAAGCATGAAATTATTTTGACCTCTGAAATTTCTGGATGGAAGGAAGTTAAGAAAATAGAATGTGTGAACCTTAAACATCATAATGTCTTGATCCCTACAAAATGTGACATACTAATATTAGACATGAATATTTGTGGAGGAGATTACTATGTTGCTAATTATTTTCAAAAATAATATTTACTTAAAATTTATAAGATATTTATTAAAATTACCATTCATAGTTAACTGTGTTTAATCTTATAACACACAAAATAAAGAAATGTAATTAATATGCCTATTTGTATTAAATAAATAAAAGGCCCATAAGAGTAATGAAAATAGAAAATGAAAAAGAATGAATGGGGCATTCCGAGAATCGAACTCGGGACCTCTTGCACCCTAAGCAAGAATCATACCACTAGACCAAATGCCCATCTTTGAAATTTTTAAATTTTAATTTAAAAATGATATATTATCTTACTGAATCCTTATCCTAATTTTCATATCTACAAGAAATTGACATATGGTACAAAGTGATACTTTATTTATTATTGATTAGTTTAGAAGTGATATACGACATTTTATTATTAATAAATTAATTTGTAGAATAATTTAGCGAGAAAATATATCATTAAAACTATTCTCACTATAAAAGGTTTTTCATTTTAGTCAATCATGTAAACCTTTCCAAACAATGGGTCAACCCACTTAGGCCTCAAAATCGGCCCAATCATTTTAAAAACATGACTCGTTATAGGCCTAATCAATTTTCGGCTCGAATAATTTTTGATTAATTTTTTTAATCCATTTTGCACTTTTTTTCTTTGTATTTTGGGACTAAAATGCACACTATGTCAGACAGGGTTTTGATATTTTTATCCTAAGTAGATTAACAACTTTACTTTCTGAAAATGTGGATGACTGTGTTCAATTTTTATCATTTATCAGTAAAAAATTATTAAACAATTATAACGTCTTTTGACACCATTGGCTGACTAAAAATATTTTCCTAAAATAAAAACTTCAATTAGTGGTATCAACAGGAAAATAATAGTATAGTTCACTTTACCTGGATTGTATACACTTATTGGGCAGACATACCATAAGAAATGTGTTCATATGTCTAATATGCCTTATTTGGTCGTGGATATTTCAAACGAACAAAATGGTTGCCTGTGAGTATTATTAAATAAAATATTGAACATCAAATATGCAAATCTACATGTATTATGTCAAATGTGTGGATTTATGTTTCATTTGTTATATATGCATTTGTATATCAAATATAAGAAAATACTATCATTTTTATTATATATATGCATTTATATTTTGTATGTATTATTCCATTTTTATAATTGTTTAATATGATAAATCTATTTGTATATTTTTATGCAAATTACGTATTGTTTATTTTGTATGTAGTGTGTATAAATTTATATATTTTTATATATTATTTTAGTTTTATTTAGGGCGGTCCAGAAGTCTGTTCTGCCCATATTTAGGGCAAACAAGACATAATATTTGATGTCCTATTTAAAAAGGGGTATGCTTATACTCACTGGACATCATGTTACCAATACTAATTCAAGTTGAAATGATATTACTCTCATTTTTTTCATAAAAAATACTCTCCTTTAAATTACCTCTGTAGATTGCTACCAATAATATAAAGATTTTAGATTTTAGGAGTATTTTAACATCTTAAAGTTGAAAAGAAGCAGAGGAGTAGGTCCGGTTTGATTAAGATAACTTTATCACAATTTAATGATAATGAAAGCTCTTGAAACGTATCTAAACTTCAATCCAATTAAATCTTTTATCTATAATAATTATGTTTGCTTAAATTAGTATAATATCCAAAAGAGAGATAATTATTAATGACCATAGACTTTAATTTCTTTGTTAATGTTTCCCCCAACCTCAATTTGACAAAGCACCATGCTTTTATTGTGGGTGAATAATGGGGTACCTTTGTCTCTTATTATGGACCTACCACCTCTTTGTTTTTTGTTTTTGGATCTAACCACAACATGACTTTGAATATGTTACTTTCCAATATATATATATATATATTAAGTCTTCAATCTTATCCCGACCAATTATATACTGTCATATCATTCATCTCACTATGACTTTTTAAATGACATGACAATATGTAATTGGCCGAGACATCATTGAGATTCTTGAGGACACCAACTTGAGACAAATGATCCTCCGTGTAAAATAACTACTCTATACTTGTAATTTGTAAGAGAGTATATATGGATATCTAAAATACTTATCCTCATTGAATAGTAGAAATAATTAATTAGTTATACTATTTTGTTATTATCTATGTATTAGTATTTTATTTAATCTGTTGATTAGAAAACAGATTAACCAATATTATTAGTGTGTGTTGAGAGTGGCGTGTAAGTAAATGAATTTAGTAGTATCAATTAATATATCATGTCACTTTTATGATCGTGATGGTCATGATCCATTTACTTAGAAACTTGCAATTTTTATGAACTTGGAAGAGTACAATAACACTGCAATATGCAAACATGTTTTCAGCAAAACCCATATGAAAGGTAGATCAGTATATTCATTATATCAGTATATTCACACAATATGTATCTTATTATTTTCATTATTTTTATAGCTTTAGTGATTAAGACATATGATTGCAGTAACACTTTTATAAATATTTAAGAAAAATAAAAGCAAAAAAGGTAAATTGGCCTGTGGATGCCAATGTTTTAAATAGTATATTGCTTTACATAAAGATGTTAGTGAGAGCTTTATTAGGGGTCACTTTTTATGAAGTGTTTGCAATATATATGTATAGTAAAGCTTTTAGTACAGAGGTGCATTTTAAGAGCTAGCAAATTAAAGATACAGACAAGTGATACATGACTTGAAATTGGAAAATGGTGTTCCTCTCAAAAGGCTATGCCCTTCAAAAGTGTTGTCCTACCTACTTCATCTTTATCCAAACAACTCCTAGGTTGATGTCGAAAGTAAATTTTCTATCTCAAAGTTTATCTTACTTCATGTGTCATCAACTCTGATCGGTCAGAAAAATGTTTAATAATTAAAATTTTCATCATATTCAACTTATAATCTGCAATCCCATAGTCAAACATATCCTAGTTGTCTAGTAGTAATTTATCATTTATCATCATACTTTACAATCAGAAAAGTAGCATTTAAAGATCCTGTCGTATTCAACTTATAATCTGCAACTTTTTCAATTTGTAATGTCAATTCTATTGGTACTGTCCAATGTCTGAGTTGGGTTATGTTTTCAATTATATATATATATATATCTTATAAAGATAAATATATAATATTAAGGCTTAAGTATATTTTTTATGGTTGAACAATTAACATTCAACTTCATGTCTACTATTAGTTGGTTAAGGTGATAGAATGAAGACTCAAATTTAAACCTTAGGAACTTTTTTATTCATCTTAAAAGGTTATATAACATTATATTTCAGTAATTGAATGAAAATTAATTTTATAAATCATTCAAATAGATTGAACATGTTAGCTCATGAAGAAATGATAAATAGTAGATATTAGCTTACATATTTGTTAGCTCTAACACAATTTGAAAGTACATATTTGTTGTTTATGAAGTTTATTGTTTATTAGCTTTTCTTGTTAAGAAAATATTGAACTATAATAGAATTAAATTATGTTAAATTGTATTTTCTTAATCAATGAAAGAAGATAGTATATGAAGTGACACACAGTACCAAGATTATAGATATTATCCTAAGTTCAAACAATATCCTTATTTGACAAAAAAAATATCTTGGCATGTTCAAAAGACACTACTATCACATTGGCTTTGTTTTGTTTCTGTGCTTACAATGCAATGTCCATGTCTCATGCTTCTGCAAATGGAGGAGGAATCATAGTCTGAATTCCTTGTTATTATTTGATACCCTTTTTATATTCATCTGGTTCCACTCCTCTATCTTTTTAACCTTTGTGGTGTCCTTCAAAACATGAATTCCTTTTTTCATGATTTGACTTCATTTCCATTTTGTTACAGTTTTATCTTTCCAACTTTTATTTTTTAAGTCCACTTGATTGCACTCATCACACTCCTTTATCTTCTTTTATGTTTTGGTTCCATTTGAGTCTCAACAGAAGCAGCTTGGTGTTCATGGAAATTGATCTGAACCATGCAGTGACTGAGGTTGAAAAGAATGTAACTTGCAATGAGGGGTGTGAGAAAGGTGCTTGTGTTATTACTAGTTTATGCTCTTCAACATGTTCATCTTCAAGTTACTCTTCAGATTCTATTTCTTCTTCTTATGTTGAGCTTTGGAATGCTTGTGCTGGTCCTCTTACTTCTCTTCCAAGGAAAGGGAATGTGGTTGTGTATTTTCCACAAGGTCACATGGAACAAGTTGCATCTTTCTCTACCTTTTCAACAATGGAAATGCCAACCTATGATCTTCAACCACAGATCTTTTGTAGAGTTGTCAATGTCCAACTACTTGTGAGTACTGAATTCAGTGAAGTTACTATCTACTTGTTATTCTTAATTGTCACTTTTCTTTTCCATTAACAGGCCAATAAGGAGAATGATGAGGTTTATACTCAGGTTACTTTGCTTCCTCAAGCAGAGGTTAGTTTATATTTGTTAGGTTATTTCT